GTTGGTAGAAATCCTATTTACTTTATCGTCGTTCCACTGTTTGTATCCATGGTATTAGCTACGGGTCTTCACAAGTGGCACGACGAAAGGAACATGAAATATTTATTTGGACCCAAGAATACCAGACATGTTAAAGAAGAAGAAGTTATAGCACGACTATTTCCAATGAATTTATCTTCCGATGCACACATGGAAAGGATGAACAGAGAACCAAATATAGTAGTAGTCCTAATTACAGCCAAAGACGAAGGATCAATCGCACACTATTCCTTGTTACGTATAACATAACAGCCGGGAAAGTAAAATCTTTATTCATTTCGTCAGTAAAATCGGTGAATAACGTCAACTATCAAATTGATAGTTGACGTCATTCACCAATCGCTAATGCTTTATGCATGCTGCCCAATGTATGAGGGAGTCACAAGTTAGAAGCATAAAATTATTAATATACTCATACTCCTCCAATTCATTTTTCCAAAGGGAAGTGTGAAGAAACTTATACATTTATAAAAAGTATTGAGAGTCATAAATTAATTACAAAGTTTATTTCTGTTTTATTATAAGCGGAAACCAGTGAAGAATTCCTTTTCCTGATATAACGCTAATTTTAAGGAAATTGTCATTGTTTTCCGATTGGTCAGAATCACAATAACAGTAGTTATTTTTCATCTTGACATCATTTATTTTGATTTAATTCAATGTTCAGTAGTCTGCGAAATACTAGAAATATTTTTATAGTAGTCATAATTCCACTTTACTCTGCAATATTTACGAATTGCAATTTGATTTAAATAGAATTATCAAGCTTTTAATTAAAATTTACACTACAAACGAAGACGCTCTCTTAAAAGAGTGAATAAGAAATCCAGAAAAGGTATGTAATTAGCAAAATAATATCCAGATGTTTTTTGGATTATCTTTAAAATAAAATAATAATAATAATAATAATAATAATGCTATTTTATATATTTCTGCCTAATTTTAGAGCCATCTTTATAACAGATTCTAACATCTAAAATAAATTAGAATAAGTGAAATTAATAAGATATTCCTGTTCTTATACTGCACTAAGGAAGTAATTTTAATTAAGGTTTTTATAGAATTTCGGGACATTATAATTATTAACTGTTCTACTTTTCCTTTATCTATAATTAATTTTCATTTTAATTAATTTATTTCGAAAAGTTACGCACTATTCGCGCTTCTGCAGAATACAATTGTCGAATATTAATGCATTTCGAATACTTATTCCTACTTTATTCGAATTTATTTTTTTTGCATATTGAGGATGTCAACCCAAGCATAAATCACGCAATCTTATATCTAAATTCATGCTATTGTTCAAAGTAAGAATAAAGAAAACATCCTTATTGAAAAATTATATAGCCTAATACAATTATTTTATTTTAACGCAAACGTATCTTTATTAACAATTAAAAACACTTTCCACTATAATATACGAAATGCATTTCGAATTGTTTCTTGTCGACTATAATTTACAGTACCGTTTTTATATATAAATTTAAATTATATTTAAATATGTTCTGACATTAAAGTCATATCATAAATATACGTTTTGATTTAAAAGTTGCAGAACACTTTTTAACTTGTCTTAGAATTTGGATTTTCCAAAATATGATTTATATAAAGGCCTTAGACATTCTCCTTGACAGTGTGACCGTGCATATCTGTGTTCGTTGATCGCAATTACTAGTGATAATGCCACGAAGACGTTTTCGAGCCTCTTACCACCATTACCAAATAACAAATAGCATTTAATAAACCAAATAAAACAGAGATACACAAATCAAGATACATAATTTAACTTATAGTAAAGATATAAGCGTACTACCTCGACTGTAGATCTTTTCTGTCTCTGAAGGCGGTACGAAGACGGCGATGTTCTCTGGACGATGCTCGAGGAAAAGGATGTGAGTGAGGGAATTAGGTGCTTGCTTCCGAGCACAAAAACCTGCCGTCAGTTCTGGCACATTCGAAAAATCACAAATTGCCCCGAATAACGGGAAAACCGTCTTTTTTATCGTAAGTAAATTTACGTCCGCTGACGCGACGGATTGCACAGGAGTTAGATATTCAGATGTTTATTAAGATTAGAGATAAACTCTTGTGAAAGGAAGTTGATTTTCCCTTTTGGCACAAAAGTGATCGATGTGTCTTCCATTAATGTAAACAACATGTAACAGATATATATTTTTTCCCACGTTAATTTAATGATATAATTCCAATTTTCATATCATGGTAATGTTTAATAATTAAAGTTACTGTTCTCTTTCAAGTATTCTTTGACGTTTTTTAAATTAAATTCTGAAGTCGGAAGAGGCAGAAGTTTTCTTCTAGAATTTTATATACAAGGTAGTTACCGGTATTAATAAAAGTAATTTCGACTCCATTGCAAAGTNCTGACATTAAAGTCATATCATAAATATACGTTTTGATTTAAAAGTTGCAGAACACTTTTTAACTTGTCTTAGAATTTGGATTTTCCAAAATATGATTTATATAAAGGCCTTAGACATTCTCCTTGACAGTGTGACCGTGCATATCTGTGTTCGTTGATCGCAATTACTAGTGATAATGCCACGAAGACGTTTTCGAGCCTCTTACCACCATTACCAAATAACAAATAGCATTTAATAAACCAAATAAAACAGAGATACACAAATCAAGATACATAATTTAACTTATAGTAAAGATATAAGCGTACTACCTCGACTGTAGATCTTTTCTGTCTCTGAAGGCGGTACGAAGACGGCGATGTTCTCTGGACGATGCTCGAGGAAAAGGATGTGAGTGAGGGAATTAGGTGCTTGCTTCCGAGCACAAAAACCTGCCGTCAGTTCTGGCACATTCGAAAAATCACAAATTGCCCCGAATAACGGGAAAACCGTCTTTTTTATCGTAAGTAAATTTACGTCCGCTGACGCGACGGATTGCACAGGAGTTAGATATTCAGATGTTTATTAAGATTAGAGATAAACTCTTGTGAAAGGAAGTTGATTTTCCCTTTTGGCACAAAAGTGATCGATGTGTCTTCCATTAATGTAAACAACATGTAACAGATATATATTTTTTCCCACGTTAATTTAATGATATAATTCCAATTTTCATATCATGGTAATGTTTAATAATTAAAGTTACTGTTCTCTTTCAAGTATTCTTTGACGTTTTTTAAATTAAATTCTGAAGTCGGAAGAGGCAGAAGTTTTCTTCTAGAATTTTATATACAAGGTAGTTACCGGTATTAATAAAAGTAATTTCGACTCCATTGCAAAGTGTTTTAATTTTTATCATTTTTATTTTTACTTATAGATATTTTCATTAATAAAACGCTCATATAAATAGTTTCAGTTTTTTTAGATTTGCAATGAAACTTAAGTATCCGAGCGTTTACTTATCGCAGAAGATGAAGGAGTTAGGATTACGTGTTGGGAGAAATCCTATTTACTTTATCGTCGTTCCACTGTTTGTATCCATGGTATTAGCTACGGGTCTTCACAAGTGGCACGACGAAAGGAACATGAAATATTTATTTGGACCCAAGAATACCAGACATGTTAAAGAAGAAGAAGTTATAGCACGACTATTTCCAATGAATTTATCTTCCGATGCACACATGGAAAGGATGAACAGAGAACCAAATGTAGTAGTAGTCCTAATTACAGCCAAAGACGAAGGATCAATGCTTCGAAAAAAAGTATTTCGAGAAATTATTCAATTAGATGAAATTATTCAAAATATAAAAACTGCGGACAATTTCACATACAATGATTTGTGCGCACGAAATAACAAAAGATGCTTCGAAAATTCTATTTTATTCATGCAGAATGAAGTGGAAATGATAGAAAACAAAACTTATACTATTAAATATCCTTTACACGAAATAAGTCGATACGAGTATCAACTGAACAGTTTATTTTTAGGAGGTGTACAAAAAACTTTAGAAGATTACGTGAAAAGCGCGAAAGTGTTGAGACTCGTTTACTACTTTAATGACGATTCGAGTATTGACAGAAACAGAGTAGAAGAATGGCAAAGTTTGTTTTTGGATCGTATTGAATCAAGTAATTTTGAGTACATAATCGTCGATCGATACACGTCGATTACAATCGAACAGGAACTATTTAAAGTGTTGTATCGTTTACTTCCTCAACTTCCGATTGCAATGTTAGCAGTAGTAATCTTTTCAATGCTGACTTGTCTGTATAACAGTTGGATCGAGAGCAAACCTTGGATCGGAGTCATTGCATTAATATCGGGAGGAATGTCTTTGGCTTCGTCATTTGGATTGATCATGTATTTTAATACACCGTTTGTGGCTCCAGCTGGATCTATACCATTTCTAATTATAGGTAAGAATTGTAAATTGTTTAAAATTATATAAAACTTGTTTTTCTTACCCTATTAATATTGTCCTTCACTTTTAAATTAATGCTATATGCAGATAAAGATAATTGTTGGATTTGAGATATATTCGAATTGCTGTCAAACTCGAGTGGTAGCTCGTGCAAACTTCAAGCTAATTGTGATGTTCCCGGTGTTAATTAAAATGTTAATGTTGCGACAGAATTTCACAAATTTTGACAGAATACAGAAATAAACACATTGGTTTATTTTTAAAAAGAGACTATTTCGAAAGTGGAAACTTCCGTTCGCCCACAAGACAATTTATCTTCTGCTTGCTGAATACTATATAATATATAGATGTCTATATGACAAGGTTGATCGCGGAGAAAAATTTGTAGGTAGGTATTTGTAGTATTGTCAGTGAAATATTTGCCGAGGGTTTATCTTGATCACAATATTCTATCTTTCGATGTTTCATTGTTCCTGTTACTCTTGGTTTCATTACGGTTTTATAAGAAATTGGTCTCCTCTTTCAGCTCCTTTTGACATGATTAAAGCTAAAACGTTTCTATATCTCAGCTAATGATGATTTAAATCAGTGATTAGCAACTTTTTTGGATGTAAGCTGCAAAATAACTTGTTAGGCGCCGCATACATATTTTCTTACGAAGCTTCAAGCAGGTTTCCATGATTAAATCTTGCTGTATACCGCATACTCCACAGCCTTCCAGTGCCTTAGGTACTGAATAATATATGCTGTCGACATGTACACCAGTAATTTATAGTTTATTGTCATCTTTTAACTGGTCAAGTTCGGTTTGAATATTCTTCATGACGAATATGAGCTTATATTCGTGACGAAGCTTTATAGGGATTGCATAATGGCAAAAGACAGAAAATGGAAAAATAAAATTACGTTTTCAAACTCCAGAGCCGAATATTAAAAGCTCGCGAGCCGCATATCCCGGGCTGCAAGTTGCTAATTGATGTGTTTATTAATGATCGTTCTATTGCTTTAAACTTCGATCACAGACAAAAGGCTTTCTGATTTATGAAGATTTCCGCTCAATAACGTCAATTTATACGGTTAGAAACTACTACGAACCTACCACGGATCCCAGAGAAAAATCCCCAGCTTTCTTGCCTTTTGAAGGGTTCCCTTTACGAGAATTCTAATATAATTAACGAACAGTACAATTTTGCCAGGCGAAATTGTACTGTACAAATTGAAATTAAAAATTGGGCAAGTGACTGGATAAAATTTCTTTAAAAAAGAATGCTGCATGAGATAAAATTAAGGTAGATAACTAAAAAATTTTAAATAAATAAAAATTAAAAATTAAAATTTGTTATCTTATAAAATAATATAAATTGCTATTGCATGTAGATTGGTAAAAAGTATATTTTTTAAACCTAACTTTACTTCTATTTATCTGTTTTAATTTTTAAAATTTGTTATTTTTAAACATAGCCATATTGTTTTACTTATCTATCTTAATTTTATCTCATGCAGCACCGTTTTTTTAAACAAATTTAATCCAATCAATTGTCCAATTTTTAATTTCAATTTGTAATTAATAATCAGCTATTTAAGTAAAAGGAGATTTTAAAAAATATTATCTATATTATGTGTGATATAAATTACACATATTATTTCTTTTGTAAAAAATAAGGACTGAAAAGGGGTCATTAAGACCCGAAATGCATTTCCTACATTAAAAAGGTCTTTATCAATAACTGTTCTTTGTGTGATAAGTTACTGAAAAAAACCCAAAAACTTTAGGTTTTTTAAAAAAAATTCACAGATACCAGTAACGGTACGATTAATTTTAAGTGTGCACTGAACGTACGAGTTTCAATAAACGAGCTTCGATTATAGTAAGAGCTGGGCTTCTTCACACGAATCACGAAGTTATCACATATAAATCAAGTCACGTGAATCAAGAGAAAGTTACGAATTGCATTAAAACAAGTTTAAGACAAAAACAATAAAAATCGTAAAATTGCCCATTGGAAAATTATTTTATTATATTTGTTAGTCTTGTTAATGAGCAAATTTTAGCTTCGTTAAATATTAAAAATCGGTGCAAATACCGAATAGCGAATATGGAATTTAAATATAGTGCATTAAATTCGAGTAACTAAATAGAAATTGCCAGCCTTAAATTGAAATTCCGAACCTGTATATTAAAAACTGCTGTGAAATTGCAATACAAAAGGCAATTTACACAAAATAAACGATTCTGTGAACCTATAATTAAATTTACGCGGAATAAATCAAGTGATTTAAAGTTGCGTTAACATTCTATTGCCATATTACCTGCCACTTAATCTATTTTTTTTTTGTCTGTATTTAATGTGAATTAAATAAAACAGGATTGTTTTTCCTTAAAATAGAAGCAAGTTACAACATTAATTATTAAATTAATAATTTTCATTTATATAAGAAAAGCAATTAATATTAAGTCTTGATTTCCATTTAAAAGTGGCATGATAATTGCCTTTAGAACCCTGCTCAATGTCTCGCTATTTCTAAGTTAAAATAATTTTAACTGAATATGGACAATTATAGATATATTTTTGATTTAAAGAACATTTCATTTTAAATGAAATAACTCGATACTATTTATGACATTCGCTGTACAATTTCCTGGGTTTCAAAACAATAGATTTTGTTTCAGGTATAGGCATGGACGACGCATTCATCTTTTTAGCTGCGTGGAAAAAAACCGACCCACAGAAGACCGTACCGGACAGACTCTCAGAAGTTTATTCGGAATCCGTCATTTCTGTTACCGTAACTTCAGTAACGAATTTCATAGCCTTCACTTCAGGACTGTTCACCCCTTTCAGAGTAATAACTTATGTTTGTTTGTATGCATCGGTTGCTGTTGTCTTCTGTTACGTTTATCAGATAACGTTTGTTGGGGCTTGAATGGCAGTCTTTGGATATGTGGAGAAACAAGGGAGAGATTCTTTATTCTTTACAAAAATAAATACTCAGAAAGGTAAGAATAACATAATGAATTTTTCAACATATATATATTTATTTGTTTGTTTGTTTACAGAAAACCGTTCTTGGATTCGAAAGTTTCTATTTTCTATTCAATCTTGGAAATCTACGAAAAATGATGTTGCTCCTAAGCCGTCAATTTTTATTTGATTCGGTTATATTTTATCAATTTGGTACGTGAAAATAGTTATTTTCTTCATCATCGCCGGACACGTTGCTGTAGCACTTTGGGGCATGACTCACACGCATATTTTCGGGTCACTTTCTGAGGCGGTGACATATGATTCATATTTTGCAGAATATCATAAAAAAATTTTTAACAATTTCAATCACTACGAATACAGATTCCAAATCATTATCGATCAAGAAATAAATTACGCAGACGTACAAATTCAGAATGAAATAGAGAATTTTTTCTCAGAAATGGAGAGAAAAGGATTAATTGCAAATTTTCTTACCGAGTCTTGGCTCAGATCCTATTTGAAATTTCTCAAGGACCGAAGAATCTCATTATCTGTACAATCATTTAACATAAGTGATACGAAGGATTTTATCTCAATTTTGCGCAGTGTTTTTCTACGTTATTCTTCTGCACGACGATTTCGTAATGATATTGCATTCAACTCTAATTACTCAGCTATCGTGGGAAGCAGATTACTTTGTCAGACTAAATTTACTACGGAAGAATCTTCATATTTAACTTTTATAAACATGAGGAAACTTACTGAAAAAATGCCTTTTAAAGTTTTTCCGTTTCACTTTTTGGCTTATTGGACCGATAGCATTGAATTGCATGTAAAATTTACTGCACAATTGTTGAGTAGTGTGGTGATCATCTTAGTGATTATTTGTATCGTTCTTATACCAGACATCGTTGTTATGGTTTCGGTTGGTCTTTCCATTGTTATTATAGAAATTTCCACCTTGGGTTACATGGCTCTGTGGGATGTCGAATTGTCACCAGTGTCTATAATCGTTTTAGTCATGTGCGCTGGTTTTTCGGTCGATTATTCTGCTCATATAGCTCATGCTTATAGACACTGTGACAGTGAAGATCCCAATGAACGTCTTCGTCATAGTATAAATTCTATCGGATACGCAATATTTCAAGGTAGTGCAACAACAATAATCGCCGTGTTACCTTTAGCTATTCCTTTGGCTTATATATTTGTTGCGACTTTTAAAATAATTTTTTTGGTTATTTTATTTTCCGCCGTTAATGCTTTGATATTTTTGCCAGTTCTTATGTCCACGTTGAATCACGTCAAATTGAAAATATGCGACAGAAAGAAACGTAGTAAAAACCTTAATACAATTGATGGGCATACAAATGTCGGTTTTTCTATTTGAGAAACAGCAATATAAATGTCGTGTTCTTTTTCTTCTAAATGCTGATAACTCTGGGTATTCCAGATGGTTATTTCCTTAAAAATTTCTGAAATACAGTACCAAAAAGAAAGGTTTATGGGAAAGTCGAATTAGGTTTCTGTGGATTGAGCTAAAGTGACTGAATTGTAGCATATTTCTGTCCTGAAAATACTTAAACTTTTTCAGGTGATTCAATAACCTAATAAACCAATTAATGTTTTTTAATCAGATGTTTAATGATATTTAGATTATTAGTCTTACATTTTAAGAGGATTGTTGAGGAATGAAGCAATTTGAAAAAAACTGAGTTAATGATATTTGATGGGCTTTTGTATTTATGTCCTTTAAGACTTCAACAACACTATGGTCAGCAATATGGTCTGATTCTTGAAACTTCTTGCACACGTTATCAATGATGCAATTTTTGAAAGCTTAGAAGCTTTCATTGTGAATATTAACGTTTTTTCATGTTCATCATTTACGATGTCGTAAAGGTTTTCTGTAATGTCCAGTTCTTCATCCGTGGATTCTAAATTTCTTTGGTATGGGGTATGTTCTCAGCTTCTTATGATCAAATGGTCTTCCTACTTGCTTTGCCAACTTTTATTGATATAGCTTTCTATGATACGGAATTGTTATTATTATTATTATTGTATTGGATTAGGCAATTATTGAATGCATTTTTGTCTGTGGCATAAATTTTTTTCAGGTTTGTTGCTGTACTAAGATGACTTAAGTGTATAATAACAATAGTTATTGTACTTTGCTTGACTTTATTAAAAAGTGTAAAAATTGGCGATAAGAGAGGCGATAACTTTTTGCAAATTTGTACAGTATTTGAAATATTGTAAAAGCAATTCGGTGATATAAAAAACAATCGTTTGAACGATCGTAACTTTTGTAAAGTAAAGTAAAGTAGCGAGTAACTAGAATTACCTTTATGAAATTAAAATAAAATAAATGTTAGCAGCTATAGTATTTTACTATCATATTTTAAGTGTTTCTTCCATTGCACACGCATGGATGGCTAACGGTACGATGTTAATTTTTTAAAAATGTTTTTGCAAATTTCTAAAACAATCAATTAAAGCAGAGAATAAGGTGATTCGCGTAATTATAAAAACACTCAGTTTAATTGGGGAAAAAAAATATATTTATATATATGTCATGTATTTGATTGATAAAGTGTACACTTTTATTTCCTGGATTTTATTATTATTTTTTAAATGATGAAAAAGTAATACCAATAAAATAAGTTCTTGTAATTAAAAAAAAAAAAAATATTTACTAACTTCCAATAGTTTTGTGTCTCAAAGGTATAGATAGAGACAGTGATTACACATTTTATCCAAATTAACAAATTACTGTATATATTCAAACCGTAATTATTTGCATAGTCCTAGTGAACAATTTATACGTGTATTTTGAGCATAAATATGTTAAGATGTTCATTTTTAAAAAAGGCCGAATTACCATTTTGAAAGCTGAGAGATTGTGAAATTTTTGCCAATAAATTGAAACTCAACTCAGCTTCTTTTAAACCTTTAATAAAAACACTTAACACCTTATATGCTGAGATATATTTATTGAAACACAAACGTTTTCAGCCTAATGGAATAGGCCATCTTCAGGTGAACTGGCATTCGAACGTATTTCAAAATTGTATTAAATGGAACGTTCGATCATTATAAATTCAAAATTAAAACGAAAAATAAATTAACCAACCAATATACAAAATAAGTATACTAAATAGATCGACGCCATATTAATATAAATAATAAATAAGGCGATATAAAAAAAAAACAAAAATAAAAACAAAAACAAAATAAATAAACCTAAAGGATTAAATGCACAAAAGGACTAAATTCACACAAAAAAATATATACATAAAAAACATCATATTATAAAGGGCAGATAGGAACTAAGAATTTGTGTGTTTTAACTTTTCTTTTACAAGGAACTTCCATGCCGATGATAAACCATCAGCATCCCATGCATTGATACAGCCGTCTCTTAATTTACTCTTATAAATTTCAATTTTTTCATGTTGCAACGCCAAAGATGGGGACCTCAACGTCTTGAGAATAGATGCTTCATTCCATTTAACTACTGAAGCCTCCGCTTGTGCCATATTTGACAAAACCGTGGTATAATGTCCTTTGCTAATGTCATATCTGTGTTCTTTAAGCCTAATAGCCAAATTTCGTCTTGTAACTCCAATATAGTCCTTCCTAATTCCTAGCTGTTGGTTTTCAAAGGGAATTTTATACACGCCCGCTGTTTCTTCTTTCTTCAGCTTGTCTTTGTCGTTTCTAAGAATACTGTATAAATTAGGACCTCTTTTGTAAACAATTTTGGAGCGTTTTTTATCGGAAACTTGCTTCATGATGTCCTTGAAGTTTTTATTATACGTAAATTTTGTGATCTTAAATTGATCTGTTCCCGTTCTTAGCCTTTTGCCTCTTTCATAACTTTTTACTAGCCCTTCAATTGTACTTCTGCGGAAACCCAAATTTGTAGCTACTTCCTTAATTCTGTTAATCTCTTTACTCCTATCCAATATATTGGAGCAATAAGTAAATGCTCTCCTAATGAGTGCCCGAAATGCTGACATTTTGTATTCATGCGGGTCATTCGAATTAGCTGGTATATAGAGAGGATTGTGCACTCCCGCTTACGGCGGGCCTGATGCAGATTTTAAACAAACTTGTACAAGCAAACTATGTTACATTCTTTCACTTTTTGATGTAATTAAATATAGCCGACTCTCACAGAAATCTCGTTTAGGGAATACTCTATCGATAAGGCCCAAAATGGTGCCGCACAGATTGTCCAGACCTATTTATATAGACCTTGACTTGCTTGTTTCCCTGTAGGTGGGCAAAATTACATTCTGTGCCTCAAAGGAAACTTTATATTATATGACTACGTTTACTAGATTGAAAAATATGAATAAATTCCTTTCCTGCCTCGCTGTCTGAGTACTTTCAAAGCTGATCTGTCCGTATTTTGCCTGCAACTTTACCTAGTAATGAGTTATCCTTAATGTTCAGTTATTGTCAAATAATTCTAATAAAATTTAAATTATAATTTTGAAAGACCCTGAATGCATTTTAGCAAAATAAAATTTTTTAGTTGTGTATTAATGTTTACTTTTTCGGCTGTTATACTGTATATAACAGAGGGAAAGTATTGCGATCGGTCAAAAAAATCACTCCCCAATAATTTTTACAATTTTGGTCTTAAGACACCTTTTAACCTCGAGAAATGTAGAAAAATTTGGATGATTTTTTCCTGTGTGTATGGATATTAGTCTGTGTGGATCTGTGGTGAGCAAAATTTTGTTCGCTTTCTTTGAAGCTTAATAACTCCTGTGCTTTTTGTCGAAAATTTCTGAAATTTTTCAGGTAGGTTTGTTTGTAAAGGCAATCGATGCTATTTAATTTTGGCGATTAAATGACAAAAGAGTGGGGAGATAAAGGAGGTCGGGTGTATCTCCAGTAGGGTCGGACCTAATGACAATTTTATTCGTATTACGGTCTATCTGCTCTCTTCTACTATTCAGTGATCTGCTCACTATTGAGAGTAGTTAGTTAAAATTATAAGTATAAATAATTCAGAGAAAAACTAAATTAGTTAAAATCGATAATCTTTGCATTCATTTATGTATCGATGACGATATCAAAATATTAAAAATACAGAAATTTATTTCATTGTAAATTCTAAAATATAGAAAATGGAACAATTGGTTTAAAATAATATTTTTATTAATTTACTATTAATTACAAATTACAGAATTATTAATTAACATAAAGAAGTAAATTCAAAACGGTATCTACGTATATGTTTTTTTATACTAAACATTGTTTTAGTAATGTATATATATATATATATATAGGATGGTCCGAAAATTGGTTAACCAAACTTCTTGCCAGCGATTAAGGGAAATAAAGCATTTGATGAAGACAAAGTTTGTCTTTAAAATAATTAACTGATTTTGGACCACTCATAACTAATTTTATAAATTAGTTGACAAATTTAGTAAATTAAGTATTTATTCACAAGCACAGATAGAATTTTGCAAGAAATGTTTAATCAATTATTGATTTATACCAATAAACATAAGTCTCATCTTCTTCAGGTATCACTTTATCAGGAGCTGGAAAATTTAGAAAATCAATCAGCAAATTATATAAATAATCAAATCGTTGTCGAATATAAAATTTAATTTTGTTATATTCTATACTAAAAACGTAATACGGGGTAGATCCATGCTTTAAAACCTAATTCTTTGTTGAAATTCTGATTTCCCCTGGGCTATACGTCATAAATTTGAATTATGTTTCCGATAAAGTCGTAAAGTGGGATCGGTTAAATGTACACATATTTAACAATATACATACTAATTAAGTATTTACAAACTAATTCAACGTGTGAATAAATAAATAATATCCGTGGTTAATTTTTAAAACTTTAATCTCATATTTTATTCTTCTTAAATATTTTATGGTATTATTAAAGTTTATACTTAATGTATGACCTTTGATGAACATAGACTGAATAATAATTCAGTTTATAGACCTCAATATGGATGAACATGTACAGAAAAGAACAGCAAAAAGTAATTAAATCTTGTTGAAAGAATGGAGGGGCATTTACATAATTGCTAACCTGCAGGGGTTGCGAACTTGTCACTATTCTGTACTAGAACTTTGTTAAATGTATTGCGATTTAGATCGATCGGAATAAATAGACAACTATTGAAATGTATAGAGAAATAGAAAAGCGTGGAAATACTTACATTTGCATTGCTGTAAAGATGTTGAATTTTCAGAAGTTTTAAACAATTGCCAATAATTCATTTCTTCCGGATGATTAACTAATCCAAATATGGAGTAGACGTATTTACCCCACGGATAATCGACGAATTTGAATCTAGAAGACATTTTTTAATACTTTTACATTCGAAACTTTCTTAAATTTTCAATGAAATTTTATTAATTACTAGCAGGTAGGCCCGGCGTTACTCGGGCAAAAGTAACGATAGCGAAGATTAAAATTATTACGTTATAGTCAACCTTACCCGTTTTCAAAGAATGCAAGAATTAAGTCCCTCTGTTTCCAGACTAATTAGAAAATTTTTAGATGGGTCTAAAAATATGTTCGATTTCCCGCAAAACGAAAAAAACTACATTTGCATTTTGCACGTCGCATCTTGCACGTCGCACGATGCAAGATGCAAACGTTTGCACGTTTGCATCTTGCATCTATTCTCTTAACAATTCCATTGTTACGTAACACTTCCATTGTTGATGGAAGCGTGAAGCCTTAATCCTGTCTCTCTCCCCCGTGGGAAGGAATTTCGAAAAATCCCTTCTTAGTATGCGTTCTCGTGACGTATCCTAACTATGTATCAAATTTCAACTTTCAACTACTAAGAAGGGATTTGACGAAATTATCAACGCGGGGGAGAGAGAGATGTATCTTAAAGAACTCGACTTTACTGTACTATTTTAGATGCGGTTTTTGCGTTTTTCCAGAAAATCGAACATATTTTCACTAATTAATCTGGGAAGAGGGAGACCTAATTCTTGCACCCGGTGAAAACGAGTGAGATCGGCTATAATATAATAATCTTAATCTTCGCTATCGTTACGTTTTGCCCGAGCAACGTCGGACTCATCTGCTAATAACAATATAAAATATTCTCACAGAAATTACCTAAATTTATCATCGAATTTTTCGGCTAATTGCATGAATTCAAAAAATGTGGAATTAATGGGAACATTAAAAGAAAGACTAAAAATAACATCTTTATTTTTTCCAACGAAGATATAATAATTTACGCGATGTTTTTTAGCTCTTCTAGAGTCGATTTCTTCTTTTATTTTCAAGTCATCTGCAATTGTTTAATAATAAAATTATTAATTGAGCTTCAAAGCTTTACGAAGTGAAATAAATAAATATACCCACGTAGTCGGTTTATATTGCAATTGACACTCCCCAAATTAACAAATGTGTTCCCATTGAGTATTGGAAGTACAAGATAAGTTGATAAACCATCTCCGAACGAACCGTCTTGCTTTTGATGCGATAGAAGATAATTAATAGCTTGTGTTACATTCCATTTTATGTTCTTGGTCACGTGGTATTCAATAGAGAGTAATGCCTGTTTCGTATAAAATTGGTGTAAGCAACCATTGATAAACATAAAAATAATATTGTAAATACTCCAGTTTTACAACTAATAAATTTCCTGTTGTGTCAATACGAAATGTCGTATATTTTATTAACTGTAGTGTGTAAAAAATATAAGTGTATGGAAAGACAAAAATCAGGAAAACCATAAATTACGTAACGCAGGGATGCATATCCTCAAGTAACAAAACGATTGTTTTCGAAGTGTTGGTAGCGATTCGCACTGTTTAATCACCACTTTGTACGTTATACATGTACTATATTAATAATGATAACGTTCGGTACCTTGCTCCTTATATTAATCCTTAGTACAATCAATCGAGGCTACGGTAACGTAATTTTGAGGTGGGTATGTGAGACGCCATTGCGGAGCGTTACGGGGAGTAGAATGATAGTTGAAAACTATAAAAGTCGAGTTATGTAATTTATAAACCATATCTATCCTAAGAGAAGGTGGACTGAGGGAAAACATGGAGTAGATAAAATTGAATTGATTAATGTATTTGTTAGGAATTCGTGTTTTAGAACCCCAAGCGTAAAGAAAAGATATATTTTGACGACCGGGGTATTGTTTCTGAGTTCATAATCTCGACTGAATTATATATAAGAAACATCTCTCGCTTCGTGGCTATGTTTCAGAATGATTTTGGTTTCAAAAGCAAAGATAATTACAAAAATGTTATGTTAACAAGAACTTACGTGAAGCAAAACGGCTGTTGTATATATATTACCGAAGGAACCATCTTTATTTTGCAATTTAGACAAATTTTTCATCAGTTCGTTGAAATCCATAAACTTGTAGTTACGAAGTAATGGAAATTGCTTACTACGACTTTTCAGACAGGAAAATGCCATTGAAGCATATGCTTGAGAATCTATATAGGTTAAGAAGTAAATTATTTATATCTAAATTACAGTTTAAATATGCCATTTCAAAAGTACCATAGTAAATTTATAGTTTATTATATAAATGTCTACTAGGACATATCGTATTATTAGGACTTATTATACTGGTGTTCGGTTTCTGCGAATAACAATCTTTATTGTTCACCCGGTATTTCAAAAGGTATATGAATTAAATTTATAATTGCTTATTAGAATTTAAATTTACATTTACGAGAAGAATTTCACAAATACACTGGGCCATAAACCTGTTTATTAACGCAATTCTTTAACTATTTCAGATGTTCTGACAATTTCAATCATATAAAAAATTTGATACATGTTCTAAAGTATAAAGTTATTGATATATATTATTAACACGAGGTGCATCTGCACCACTATGATAATATAAATATAAGTCAAAATATATAAAAATTAATAACAACAAACTTTAAACGTTCTCGTAATATTTTACGAAAATTGAAATAATAACCTTAATAATTTTAATATTCGTGAAGAAGTAAGTTTTATGCTTTTTTTAGATAACCTAAAATTATAATTAAATTATAATAATTATAATTTCTAACAACTTTGTAATTTATATTTCCATAAAACTCAGAGCACCAAGGAGTTGTCGTATCGATATGAAACTTGGCACACAGATAAGTCTCGAGCAGATATGAAAATAATTAGAGTTATAGCATGATGATTCACTGCATAATGCCAACAGAGGACGTTAAAACGCGTCCCTTTTGGCCTACACAAAGCACTCAAAGGCATCCTGTCTGTTGCAGAGGGAGGATTTATAACTAGAGATGCCTTTACGTCGCAATCGAAGACCATATGATCAACTAACAGAGTTTGATAGGGGAAGGATCATCGCATCGAGAGAAGCCGGATGATCAAATCGCCGAATAGCAGCCACCTGGGTTCTTCTGACAACACTATGCGGTGTTTGAGCCAATGAACGAGAGCCAGCTGGCAACACGACTCCCAGGCTCGGGTACCCCCTCGACAGACCATTAGCCGAGAGGCTGTCCCGTTATCCGATAAACATGCACACGGACGATAGTACCGTTGCCCGCTATCCGAACACAGATGGCGCCATTATTCCAGTTCTCCATTTTTCTCCGTACGGTTTCCAGCCGTTGCCAATGGTGTTCCGCCATTGACAAGCCACTCACTGTAAACGCCTCAATCCTAAGGTTTGAATCCTAAGGTCCCACTGTCGGTGTGACATCACATACGACAACTGGCGACCTCTAGTAGTGATCCAAAGAACCAGAAAGCCCAACGATATATTAGTAAAATTCTGCAACGTGTTGGCTCCAGAGAACAATTTTCCAACAGGAATGAAATAAATGGTTATTTTGCTTTCATTTTGTAATCACTTACGTATATCACCGTTACATTCGCACATGTACAATTTCGTTCGATTCGACAATAACTTCTTTGTGCGCTATTTTTTATGGCAATGAGTGTATAGCAATGCTTTATAATGAAGATTATTATTATTACATTACATTATTTTCAATAATTTAATAATCGATCATATAATAAACGAAAATCGCTGTATTTTCAAATATTGAAAGCAAATTAATAGTTTTGTTTTTAACTTATTTTCTGCCATGCCAATCGTCGGTTCGGCTAGGCCCATAATGGAGGCTATTGGATGGTCAGGAAGGTGCACGATCAATCTGGGACAGATTTCCCGCTTTAATCATGTGAGGGCCAGGATTTAAGAGGGCCGAGATTCGAATAGTTATATTCATTTTTGTTCATTCATTCACCGTTTTGTTTCAAAATCACACCGATTTTTTTTAGTTAGGGTTAACACAAAAAAAGGGAAAAACAACCGACAAATTTTCTCATAAAAATCGCTCATAAAAACTACGTTCCCACGACAATACTTCCCTACAGAAGATGAGTTAACTGTTGTGTCATAAGTTTGTCACTTCGCCCACCATTGGTGAACGAAGATCATCACCTCTGACGTACAGTACATGGGGAAATCTCGAAAAGAGAGCCCCCATATAAAAGACAAGTGCGATGATGACACAGGGGGAGAAAGTTATTGTTCTGTACTCTGCGTGTGTGTGTGTGTGGATTACCTGCCTCTCGTCGCCACCATCCTCGATAGAACTATTTTATGATTTGCGGACTTACGTCGACTCACAAACTATTTTAACGAGCCCGGGATTCGGACTCCGAGATCGTCCTGAAACCACCATCCTGTATAACTAGAGGTATTTATCCTACACGCGATGATGTGTAAGCTCTCTCTCCAATATTCCAACCTCGCGGATAGAGTCGCGACTACTTTATACTTTGCCGTTACTTTATGAACTATACGGATACAAATCCCGAGAGGGATTTGTATCCGTATAGGATAATTGGAATACATTGGAATTGGAATAATTGGAATACAAATCCCGAGAGGGATTTGTATTCCAATTATTAACCATGTATAAATGTACGGAATAAACGGGTATTTTGTTAACGAACGATTGAAGTGCATTTCATCCACCATTATCACCTCCATACTGAACCCGAAGTCCTCGACGAGATCGCTCGTGATAATTCCTCCCCATCTATCCGCGTATCTATCCGCGATAAATTGATAGATTGGTGTCAGATCCTGACAGGTGAAAGAATCTAACGATCCTTTCTCCTAACCCTTTTTTTCCCCATCTTTTAGACAAGCGAGACCGGACCTCAAGGTCTTGAGTCGAGTAAGAGGTAGGAGAGTGAAGAACTCGTAAACATCTTACCCCCGATTAGTCTCACAATCATTTTATAATGATTTTACTATCAAATCAAACTCAATTTTTATAATTTCATAAATCTGATTGTTTAGAAATAAATTCAAAAATCAATTATCTTCTATGCTACATTTAAATTGCATTTATTGTATAGATTATCGCTTTTAAAATTTAATGTCAAACATATTTTCCACAATATATTATAGTTTGTCTACGTATTGATTATGAAAATATTTAAATATACTTTATATCTATTGTACAATCTAAAACAGATAAATGTATTAATCGTTACCTATCTGATGAGGCAAATCTTTTTTAAGCAGGAAGACCTCTTCTAATTTTTTCATTTCTTTCGAACGAATAGTTTGATTAGAATTGCATATTGTCAATGCAATTGCAGGGTTTATCGATTCAGATTCTTCAATTCTTGCTTTCAATAAATCCACTAAATCGAATTCTTGAAAATTTTTCGGATCAGAACAAACGGCAAGTAACGAATTGACGTAAGATGCTATTTCGTAGGTCTTGATGTCTTTAATGTCGTTCCTATAAAAAGTCATTTTTTTGTTAGGTATAAAGTTATATAATTCGTCAAATGGGAACGTGTTTCATATATTATTACGTCAGCAACGTTTGAGAAAGTTGAAGTTTCAGTTGCTTGAACATTAATTGATTCGTTACATCAGAAGTGTTTAGGTCGTGTTCTTCGGAAAGACGAAGTGTCACGATGGCTCGATTTGTGTCTCTATCCCATCCCCAATCCGATTTTCTCTGTTTTCTCAACCACGAAAGAGCTTTCATCTTACTTTGTCTTACTCCAGGTAAATCTTCGATTCGAAAACCATTTCTCACTAAAATGCAATTAAGAATATAGTTAAATAATATTAATTAATAGCAATTAGTATTTGTATTAGGACTTACAGCAATTTACTTCGTCAGAGTTATCTGTACAATCCTTATAACCATCGCATGCCCATTTAATGGGTATACATTTTTCGTTATTTTTGCAATAAGTCTGTTCTCTTGCGCAATGTGGGTAGTCTGCAAATGAATTAAATGTAAGTTAAATTTATTAGAATTTATTTATTAATTTTACGATTAGAATATATATTCAAAATATTCTTTAAATTTATATTATATTAATTAACATACCGTAAATAGACTATAAATCTATGTGCCAACTGTAATTTTTTTTGATGTAGTTCATATGAAGTGCACAGCATATATTTTAAATTAAATAAATTAAAAATATGATTAAAAATATGCTCCCCCCTCAAATTAGTAGTGGCTTGCTCCTGTACATCATACCTCTTCTTTTAACAACAAAGTGCTGGTTATCTATTGAAATAATGTGATTCGATTTAAATCGGAAGTCACATTATTTCAATCCAAAACTTATACAGTATAGTTAATCGGGATCTCCTGCCCTAAGGTTTCCATATTTGGTCTCGGATTTCATCTATACTCACGATTAACCCCTAACAAGTAGAGCGCAATAACGATTTAAGTTGACAAAATGGAATAGATTTATTTGGATGGAAGTGCAGGCACTGGCTACTTTTTAAGTGAAAACTAATAAATACAAAATCCAACAACGAGTTGCTTAACTTTCCTGCGTGTGGCGTAATCTGTTATAATATTTAATTAAACACAACTTTTTATATGTTTAATTGTTATAAAATGGCAGAAAGCTGGATTTTGGAAATAGGGATGGGTTTTATTTTAAAAAAGTTGTAATTGCTAACAGCAAGTAAAAGCTTCATTAACTCAATTCGAAGTATGACACACGACCGCCCTTATCTCTCCACCCCGTCGATCTGTAACCAGCAAAATTTAATAGCATCAATCCCTCTAATAAACAATCTTTCCTGCAAAATTTCAGGAATTTTCGGCCAAAGGCACAGACATTATTCAGTTTTAACGTGAACAAAATCATGTTCTGACACACACAAACAAACAAACAAACATCCATATAGAAATTACCTAGAACCGTTTTTTGCATTTCTGGATGTTTCAAGATCCCCTGAGTCAAAAACTGTAAAAATCTGAGGGTGGGTCATTTTTTGATCGATTGCCATACTTTCCCTCTGTTATATATAACAGAACCGCGAAAGTAACTCCGAATCCGTTATCGGTTTATTCGTTAACGTTTTTCAGCTCATTTAGTTAAACGAAAAATTATAGGTCAATAGGTTATACAGTCGACCCCCCCTATAACACGGTAGATACGTTCCGTTTTTTTATGATATTTTTATATATTTTGTACGAGTCCTTAAATACATGAGCCAATCACAGCCCGGCACGTGTGCAGTTTACGGACTACGGCTGTTTGAAAGGTTTTCTTCCATAAAATTAATCGATTCTAGACTAATTTGACTCAACATTTCCAAAATACGTATAATTTTTTTGGGAATAATCCATTTAAACTATGCTATAAACAAAAAAAATGTAGGATTACTTCCCAAGTGTACACCGTTCGACGACGCCATTGCTTAAGCTTGTTTTCGTCGCGGAGCGGCGCATCGAACGGCGGGCGCTTGTTTCCCGATAAGTTATTTTCTGCGAAAAATTCGCTGAACTTTGGAGACATTATTAATATAAATATAATTTTTATGGCCGTTAAATAATAAATGGTTTTTAGTAGGTCCGCTGCTCGTTTAAACTCAACGGTTTGTGCAATATCGCTATTAGTCTAGATTCGACCAATCTTGTCACTACACGAGTCGGCGATGACGTTTTACCGAATAATACGAGTTTCTTTTAGCGTGTTTATACTAATACTGTCGCAATTTTTTCGCCGTTATATACGAATCCGAATTATATGAACCCGTTTTATAAGTGGGGTCTACTGTAAGAGTATTGCGCGGCAAGAAAGCGTTTTAATCGTGGCTGGAAGAAGCTATCATGTGAGTCAATGACAGGAACGCTTTCTGTTAAACGAGTGGGGAACTTGCGGTTCAAGATGTGAATGGTCTGTGGTAAGACTCGAATATTATAGAATGTTCGAGGTTCAGGGACTTAGCGGTAAAGTTCTAGTATCTTCTGTTCCCTATTTAAGAGCTGTAATCAGTGCGAGTGAGTCAGTTGAATGAATTAACGAATTTGAGCTTGTTCAGAACATACCGCGATCGAGGTTTATTTGAAACATAAGCAATACTGGATTTCTTACGTCGTTTAAAATTAATAAGTGCTGTATTTACTTCTATTGTATGTTGTAAGTGTTTTAATAAATCCGTTAATGTTTTTTGCGCGTTTATTTAATTTTTGGACCCAATTCCGTAACAACAGCAATCTAAAATGGATATTAAAAATTTATAGCACGGAAGGTATGTATCTATATTATTTTCATTTGAATTGATGAGTTGCAAAGCAATCTAATTAAAGCAACCTAAAATCTTCAGGAAATGCGAAGACTGTATTTTTGCTTTTAATAGTGAAAAATGCCACTTACATGTCATCACAGATTTAAAATGAAATAATCGGCCTATGTGGCGACGTCATTAAATACGACATCACTACTGACGTAAAAAAAGCATGTGCTGACAGTATCCTGGCAGAAAAAAGCAGTGACGCATGAGGAAAAGAGCAACTTTCCATTGGGGTTAGAAATTTTGACGAAGAAAAGATGGTTCGTGAAGAATTTCTAGGTTTTGTAGAGTTGACTGACATGGATAGCATCTGCAATTAACAACTTTGTAGAAAAGGTAGGCCTTGATCCAGAAAAGTGCATCTGGAATATCGATTTTCTGAGGAGAACTTGCCCGCATTTTCATTGTTTACGTTGCACCCTCACGTAATGCTTGATATGACGAATGATGATTTAAAAAACAACTACAATTTTTTATAGTTACTACAATATGAATAATTTCCTTAGTGAAGCTGAACTTTGGTACAACCAGTGGAAAGGAAAAAAATGTGCCAAATGCCGAACTGAAAGAGATAGAAACTAGCTGCACTAGTTAAAGAAACGCAATTGTTCTACCCATCTATAAAACGGGCGATACTTATCTCACTTGCACAGCCCTGCACAACGTGCAATATCGAAAGATCCTTTAGCACCTTACACAGGGTAAAAACTTGGATGCAATCAACAATGACAGAAAATCGGATTGTCGGTCTTTGTATAATTCGTGTGCGTAAAAAGAGGGTTCTGAAAGCTAAAAATAAATTTCAGAAAGAAATTTCTGAAATTTCGACAACATTTAGCCGAACTCCCGTAGGCTAGTGCTGAAATAAGATTTAAATAGGTTCGAATAGCATTGCAACTAATTACTTTTACCGTTTTCAAATGTTGAAATAAAACCATTTTTTAATAAACAACGTTATCTTATTTTTCCCCCTGGAGAAAATCCTGACTACACCCTTATGGGCAACCCTAACTAACTTAAATTTAGGCTATGCCAGTGAACCACGTTTTCAAGAAATACTCAATATATTGTATACGGTATTTTTACGGGTAAATATAAATTAATTATATTTTAGAAGAGAAAAGAAAAATTAATACCAGTAGAAACTTACAAAGATGACAACTTTTTTTCTCGCTTCTATCTCTGCAGTAATTGCGATCTTCATAGGTCTTATAGCACCAGTAAGTTTTATTAATGCATGCTCCATTATTACATTCAAATTGGTTGTTTTGACATCTTCCTGTTAATTTATATAAAATAAATAATAAAGATTACGAAATACTTTAAATACTGTACTTACTTCCGAAAGAGACCACAAGCTTTATGCAAGACAGAGAAATCAGTGCATAAAATAATATTAAACTCTTCATCTTTATAATCGACTACGATGTAAAATTTCCGAAAACAAAACTAAAACTTATTTTATCAATTTATTATTCAATCTTACGAAATATTTATCACGAAGATATCGATAAAATATATTAAATACAAAGAACACAATACTGATTGATTAGATAANAATTTTATCTGAATATGGACAATTATAGATATATTTTTGATTTAAAGAACATTTCATTTTAAATGAAATAACTCGATACTATTTATGACATTCGCTGTACAATTTCCTGGGTTTCAAAACAATAGATTTTGTTTCAGGTATAGGCATGGACGACGCATTCATCTTTTTAGCTGCGTGGAAAAAAACCGACCCACAGAAGACCGTACCGGACAGACTCTCAGAAGTTTATTCGGAATCCGTCATTTCTGTTACCGTAACTTCAGTAACGAATTTCATAGCCTTCACTTCAGGACTGTTCACCCCTTTCAGAGTAATAACTTATGTTTGTTTGTATGCATCGGTTGCTGTTGTCTTCTGTTACGTTTATCAGATAACGTTTGTTGGGGCTTGAATGGCAGTCTTTGGATATGTGGAGAAACAAGGGAGAGATTCTTTATTCTTTACAAAAATAAATACTCAGAAAGGTAAGAATAACATAATGAATTTTTCAACATATATATATTTATTTGTTTGTTTGTTTACAGAAAACCGTTCTTGGATTCGAAAGTTTCTATTTTCTATTCAATCTTGGAAATCTACGAAAAATGATGTTGCTCCTAAGCCGTCAATTTTTATTTGATTCGGTTATATTTTATCAATTTGGTACGTGAAAATAGTTATTTTCTTCATCATCGCCGGACACGTTGCTGTAGCACTTTGGGGCATGACTCACACGCATATTTTCGGGTCACTTTCTGAGGCGGTGACATATGATTCATATTTTGCAGAATATCATAAAAAAATTTTTAACAATTTCAATCACTACGAATACAGATTCCAAATCATTATCGATCAAGAAATAAATTACGCAGACGTACAAATTCAGAATGAAATAGAGAATTTTTTCTCAGAAATGGAGAGAAAAGGATTAATTGCAAATTTTCTTACCGAGTCTTGGCTCAGATCCTATTTGAAATTTCTCAAGGACCGAAGAATCTCATTATCTGTACAATCATTTAACATAAGTGATACGAAGGATTTTATCTCAATTTTGCGCAGTGTTTTTCTACGTTATTCTTCTGCACGACGATTTCGTAATGATATTGCATTCAACTCTAATTACTCAGCTATCGTGGGAAGCAGATTACTTTGTCAGACTAAATTTACTACGGAAGAATCTTCATATTTAACTTTTATAAACATGAGGAAACTTACTGAAAAAATGCCTTTTAAAGTTTTTCCGTTTCACTTTTTGGCTTATTGGACCGATAGCATTGAATTGCATGTAAAATTTACTGCACAATTGTTGAGTAGTGTGGTGATCATCTTAGTGATTATTTGTTTCGTTCTTATACCAGACATCGTTGTTATGGTTTCGGTTGGTCTTTCCATTGTTATTATAGAAATTTCCACCTTGGGTTACATGGCTCTGTGGGATGTCGAATTGTCACCAGTGTCTATAATCGTTTTAGTCATGTGCGCTGGTTTTTCGGTCGATTATTCTGCTCATATAGCTCATGCTTATAGACACTATGACAGTGAAGATCCCAATGAACGTCTTCGTCATAGTATAAATTCTATCGGATACGCAATATTTCAAGGTAGTGCAACAACAATAATCGCCGTGTTACCTTTAGCTATTCCTTTGGCTTATATATTTGTTGCGACTTTTAAAATAATTTTTTTGGTTATTTTATTTTCCGCCGTTAATGCTTTGATATTTTTGCCAGTTCTTATGTCCACGTTGAATCACGTCAAATTGAAAATATGCGACAGAAAGAAACGTAGTAAAAACCTTAATACAATTGATGGGCATACAAATGTCGGTTTTTCTATTTGAGAAACAGCAATATAAATGTCGTGTTCTTTTTCTTCTAAATGCTGATAACTCTGGGTATTCCAGATGGTTATTTCCTTAAAAATTTCTGAAATACAGTACCAAAAAGAAAGGTTTATGGGAAAGTCGAATTAGGTTTCTGTGGATTGAGCTAAAGTGACTGAATTGTAGCATATTTCTGTCCTGAAAATACTTAAACTTTTTCAGGTGATTCAATAACCTAATAAACCAATTAATGTTTTTTAATCAGATGTTTAATGATATTTAGATTATTAGTCTTACATTTTAAGAGGATTGTTGAGGAATGAAGCAATTTGAAAAAAACTGAGTTAATGATATTTGATGGGCTTTTGTATTTATGTCCTTTAAGACTTCAACAACACTATGGTCAGCAATATGGTCTGATTCTTGAAACTTCTTGCACACGTTATCAATGATGCAATTTTTGAAAGCTTAGAAGCTTTCATTGTGAATATTAACGTTTTTTCATGTTCATCATCTACGATATCGTAAAGGTTTTCTGTAATGTCCAGTTCTTCATCCGTGGATTCTAAATTTCTTTGGTATGGGGTATGTTCTCAGCTTCTTATGATCAAATGGTTTTCCTACTTGCTTTGCCAACTTTTATTGATATAGCTTTCTATGATACGGAATTGTTATTATTATTATTATTGTATTGGATTAGGCAATTATTGAATGCATTTTTGTCTGTGGCATAAATTTTTTTCAGGTTTGTTGCTGTACTAAGATGACTTAAGTGTATAATAACAATAGTTATTGTACTTTGCTTGACTTTATTAAAAAGTGTAAAAATTGGCGATAAGAGAGGCGATAACTTTTTGCAAATTTGTACAGTATTTGAAATATTGTAAAAGCAATTCGGTGATATAAAAAACAATCGTTTGAACGATCGTAACTTTTGTAAAGTAAAGTAAAGTAGCGAGTAACTAGAATTACCTTTATGAAATTAAAATAAAATAAATGTTAGCAGCTATAGTATTTTACTATCATATTTTAAGTGTTTCTTCCATTGCACACGCATGGATGGCTAACGGTACGATGTTAATTTTTTAAAAATGTTTTTGCAAATTTCTAAAACAATCAATTAAAGCAGAGAATAAGGTGATTCGCGTAATTATAAAAACACTCAGTTTAATTGGGGAAAAAAAATATATTTATATATATGTCATGTATTTGATTGATAAAGTGTACACTTTTATTTCCTGGATTTTATTATTATTTTTTAAATGATGAAAAAGTAATACCAATAAAATAAGTTCTTGTAATTAAAAAAAAAAAAAATATTTACTAACTTCCAATAGTTTTGTGTCTCAAAGGTATAGATAGAGACAGTGATTACACATTTTATCCAAATTAACAAATTACTGTATATATTCAAACCGTAATTATTTGCATAGTCCTAGTGAACAATTTATACGTGTATTTTGAGCATAAATATGTTAAGATGTTCATTTTTAAAAAAGGCCGAATTACCATTTTGAAAGCTGAGAGATTGTGAAATTTTTGCCAATAAATTGAAACTCAACTCAGCTTCTTTTAAACCTTTAATAAAAACACTTAACACCTTATATGCTGAGATATATTTATTGAAACACAAACGTTTTCAGCCTAATGGAATAGGCCATCTTCGGCCGAACTGGCATTCGAACGTATTTCAAAATTGTATTAAATGGAACGTTCGATCATTATAAATTCAAAATTAAAACGAAAAATAAATTAACCAACCAATATACAAAATAAGTATACTAAATAGATCGACGCCATATTAATATAAATAATAAATAAGGCTATATAAAATAAAAACAAAAATAAAAACAAAAACAAAATAAATAAACCTAAAGGATTAAATGCACAAAAGGACTAAATTCACACAAAAAAATATATACATAAAAAACATCATATTATAAAGGGCAGATAGGAACTAAGAATTTGTGTGTTTTAACTTTTCTTTTACAAGGAACTTCCATGCCGATGATAAACCATCAGCATCCCATGCATTGATACAGCCGTCTCTTAATTTACTCTTATAAATTTCAATTTTTTCATGTTGCAACGCCAAAGATGGGGACCTCAACGTCTTGAGAATAGATGCTTCATTCCATTTAACTACTGAAGCCTCCGCTTGTGCCATATTTGACAAAACCGTGGTATAATGTCCTTTGCTAATGTCATATCTGTGTTCCTTAAGCCTAATAGCCAAATTTCGTCTTGTAACTCCAATATAGTCCTTCCTAATTCCTAGCTGTTGGTTTTCAAAGGGAATTTTATACACGCCCGCTGTTTCTTCTTTCTTCAGCTTGTCTTTGTCGTTTCTAAGAATACTGTATAAATTAGGACCTCTTTTGTAAACAATTTTGGAGCGTTTTTTATCGGAAACTTGCTTCATGATGTCCTTGAAGTTTTTATTATACGTAAATTTTGTGATCTTAAATTGATCTGTTCCCGTTCTTAGCCTTTTGCCTCTTTCATAACTTTTTACTAGCCCTTCAATTGTACTTCTGCGGAAACCCAAATTTGTAGCTACTTCCTTAATTCTGTTAATCTCTTTACTCCTATCCAATATATTGGAGCAATAAGTAAATGCTCTCCTAATGAGTGCCCGAAATGCTGACATTTTGTATTCATGCGGGTCATTCGAATTAGCTGGTATATAGAGAGGATTGTGCACTCCCGCTTACGGCGGGCCTGATGCAGATTTTAAACAAACTTGTACAAGCAAACTATGTTACATTCTTTCACTTTTTGATGTAATTAAATATAGCCGACTCTCACAGAAATCTCGTTTAGGGAATACTCTATCGATAAGGCCCAAAATGGTGCCGCACAGATTGTCCAGACCTATTTATATAGACCTTGACTTGCTTGTTTCCCTGTAGGTGGGCAAAATTACATTCTGTGCCTCAAAGGAAACTTTATATTATATGACTACGTTTACTAGATTGAAAAATATGAATAAATTCCTTTCCTGCCTCGCTGTCTGAGTACTTTCAAAGCTGATCTGTCCGTATTTTGCCTGCAACTTTACCTAGTAATGAGTTATCCTTAATGTTCAGTTATTGTCAAATAATTCTAATAAAATTTAAATTATAATTTTGAAAGACCCTGAATGCATTTTAGCAAAATAAAATTTTTTAGTTGTGTATTAATGTTTACTTTTTCGGCTGTTATACTGTATATAACAGAGGGAAAGTATTGCGATCGGTCAAAAAAATCACTCCCCAATAATTTTTACAATTTTGGTCTTAAGACACCTTTTAACCTCGAGAAATGTAGAAAAATTTGGATGATTTTTTCCTGTGTGTATGGATATTAGTCTGTGTGGATCTGTGGTGAGCAAAATTTTGTTCGCTTTCTTTGAAGCTTAATAACTCCTGTGCTTTTTGTCGAAAATTTCTGAAATTTTTCAGGTAGGTTTGTTTGTAAAGGCAATCGATGCTATTTAATTTTGGCGATTAAATGACAAAAGAGTGGGGAGATAAAGGAGGTCGGGTGTATCTCCAGTAGGGTCGGACCTAATGACAATTTTATTCGTATTACGGTCTATCTGCTCTCTTCTACTATTCAGTGATCTGCTCACTATTGAGAGTAGTTAGTTAAAATTATAAGTATAAATAATTCAGAGAAAAACTAAATTAGTTAAAATCGATAATCTTTGCATTCATTTATGTATCGATGACGATATCAAAATATTAAAAATACAGAAATTTATTTCATTGTAAATTCTAAAATATAGAAAATGGAACAATTGGTTTAAAATAATATTTTTATTAATTTACTATTAATTACAAATTACAGANAGTCAGTAAAAAGACATGTTCAAAACAAAACATTTATGGGAGTAGCAAACCTCACACGTAAACGTGTGAGGTTTGCCGATTGGGTAAAAAATGTCGCGACAGTCGAGCAGTCAGCACTGTCGTGTGGGAGTGGAAAAACTCACTGAGACATCCATCGTAAACATCCATAGGTTTTCCATCGTAAACAGTTTATTAAATACTAGAAGACTCCGCCACGTCTTGTTGTGGCTCAAAATGTATCTATTATAAATGTATAACACTTCCCCTGTGAGGAGGAATTTTTCGAAAAATTCCTTCTTAGTGTACATTCTCTTGACGTACCCTATTAAAACGCAATCAAAAACGCAAAAACCGCATCTAAAATAGTATAATAGAAGCAGAGTTCTTTATGGTAAGCCTTAATCCTAACTATCTCCCTCAGTGGGGAGAATTTCGACATGTATATTATATAAAAACACGTGCGTATTCGAATACAATGTAGTGTCAAAATTTCAAAAAAATCGGTAGGAACAAACGAACATTACATTTTTATTTATATAGATAGATAGAAGATGATCCGCTTTAGTTCATTTTCACAGAAAAGCATANCGCCGAATAGCAGCCACCTGGGTTCTTCTGACAACACTATGCGGTGTTTGAGCCAATGAACGAGAGCCAGCTGGCAACACGACTCCCAGGCTCGGATACCCCCTCGACAGACCATTAGCCGAGAGGCTGTCCCGTTATCCGATAAACATGCACACGGACGATAGTACCGTTGCCCGCTATCCGAACACAGATCCCGCCATTATTCCAGTTCTCCATTTTTCTCCGTACGGTTTCCAGCCGTTGCCAATGGTGTTCCGCCATTGACAAGCCACTCACTGTAAACGCCTCAATCCTAAGGTTTGAATCCTAAGGTCCCACTGTCGGTGTGACATCACATACGACAACTGGCGACCTCTAGTAGTGATCCAAAGGACCAGAAAGCCCAACGATATATTAGTAAAATTCTGCAACGTGTTGGCTCCAGAGAACAATTTTCCAACAGGAATGAAATAAATGGTTATTTTGCTTTCATTTTGTAATCACTTACGTATATCACCGTTACATTCGCACATGTACAATTTCGTTCGATTCGACAATAACTTCTTTGTGCGCTATTTTTTATGGCAATGAGTGTATAGCAATGCTTTATAATGAAGATTATTATTATTACATTACATTATTTTCAATAATTTAATAATCGATCATATAATAAACGAAAATCGCTGTATTTTCAAATATTGAAAGCAAATTAATAGTTTTGTTTTTAACTTATTTTCTGCCATGCCAATCGTCGGTTCGGCTAGGCCCATAATGGAGGCTATTGGATGGTCAGGAAGGTGCACGATCAATCTGGGACAGATTTCCCGCTTTAATCATGTGAGGGCCAGGATTTAAGAGGGCCGAGATTCGAATAGTTATATTCATTTTTGTTCATTCATTCACCGTTTTGTTTCAAAATCACACCGATTTTTTTTAGTTAGGGTTAACACAAAAAAAGGGAAAAACAACCGACAAATTTTCTCATAAAAATCGCTCATAAAAACTACGTTCCCACGACAATACTTCCCTACAGAAGATGAGTTAACTGTTGTGTCATAAGTTTGTCACTTCGCCCACCATTGGTGAACGAAGATCATCACCTCTGACGTACAGTACATGGGGAAATCTCGAAAAGAGAGCCCCCATATAAAAGACAAGTGCGATGATGACACAGGGGGAGAAAGTTATTGTTCTGTACTCTGCGTGTGTGTGTGTGTGG